GGGTGTCGGCGGCTGGGGGTGGCGGGCGCCGCCGCCCTGAATGGTGCGGGGGGAGGGCGGCGGGTGCTGAGGGAGGTTTTGGGGACTTTGGGGGCTCCCCCCCCCTGCTCTGGAGCGCAGTGGGGGAGGAATGCCCAACCCGGAGAGACATGGGGGCAAGAAGGAGGGCGGCGGCGGGGCCTCGCAGCGCGCGCCCAGCGCCTCCAACAGCCGCGAGCGGCACCGGCCGGCCTCCCGCCACAAGCGCCACAAGTCGCGGCACTCCAAGGAGGCGCCGGCGGCCGCCCCGGAGAGCGCGGCGCCCTTGGGCGCGGTGATCAAGCCGCTCGTGGAGTACGACGACATCAGCTCCGACTCGGACACCTTCTCGGACGATGTGGCCCTCAAGCTGGACAGGAGGGAGAACGAGGACAGGAAAGCGGAGAGGAGCGAGAGGGCCCAGAAGCACCGGCACCACCAGCACAAGCGCATCCGTGAGCTGATGAGGAGCAAGCAGGCGGAGAAGGAGAGGAAGCTGGAAAAGAGCCTGGAGGCGTCTGGCAGGTCAGGGTCCACCAAGGACAGAATATCGGGATCCTCCAAGAGGCTCCTCGATGACAACGAGCAGCACCCGAAGTCGCTTTCCTCCAAGAGCAGCAACAAGGAGTCCCGGTCAGCCAAAGCGCACAAGGAGAAATCCAGGAAGGACCGGGAGCTCAAATCCAGCCACAAGGAGCGCAGCAAAAGCCACCGGAAAAGGGATGCTCCGAAAAGTTACAAAACCATTGACAGTCCCAAGCGGAAATCCAGAAGTCCCCACCGAAAATGGTCAGACAGCCCCAAATTGGACGACAGCCCCTCGGGAGCCTCCTACATCCAGGAGTACGACCTCAGCCCGCCGCGCTCTCACACCTCCAGCAACTACGACTCGTACAAGAAGAGCCCGGGCGGCTCCTCGCGCCGCCAGTCCGTGAGCCCCCCCTACAAGGAGCCCGCGGCCTATCAGTCCAGCACGCGCTCCCCCAGCCCCTACGGGCGCCGGCAGCGCTCCCTCAGCCCCTATAGCCGGCGGCGCTCCTCGAGCTACGAGCGGGGCAGCGGCTCCTACAGCGGCAGGTCGCCCAGCCCCTACGGGCGCCGGCGCTCGAGCAGCCCCTTCGTGGCCAAGCGCTCCGTGAGCCGAAGCCCCATCGCCAGGTGCGTGACCGCGTGGCGCCGTCGTGGGCTGCGGGAGCGGGGAGGACAGGCAAGCATCTCGGGACGAGTGGCTCTGGGGGTGTGGAAATTATCCCCGTTACCCTTCGTGATCGCAGTCTGTCCCCTGGTGCGTCGTTGGGTGACGCGTTGGGTCACGTGTGTGGTGTTACTTTGGGAAGGTTTCCCGTGGTTCTCTTGGAAAACGACGTTCGCACCTTGGAAAACACCTCCCTGGGTGGCTCTAAGCAGCCTCCATGTTGGCTCCACGCAGAGAGGCCTGGGGCCGAATGAGCTCCCGGGATTATGTTACACTCTCCTCTAGTGGTGGCCCCTGCCGAGGGGATCCGCAGTGTCCCTGGGGATGGAGCCCTCCCCTCCAGAGGCCCTTCACGGGTGGGAATTTCCCTTGGGAAGAATCTCCCCTCTTGTTTGTAGAATCATTTGTCTTTTTGCTAGATGTGGAAATCTGCTCACGCTTTTCAGGAGGACAACTCTTGGTTTGAGTGCATTTTACTCTTTCTAAACTAACTTGTTTTTTTTTTCTTCGCTTGAATTAGAGATGACCATGTGTAAACTGCATTTTTGTAGCCTAAACACTCTCTAATGGAGTTACTTGCTTCCATATCCTAAAATCAGGGCATTCTGGAAGGGCAAGTAGGAAGCAGTTCTATTTTGGCTTAATTATAATTTTCTCCCTCCTTTCCCTCCTCACCCAGGCAGAAATACAGCTGCAAACGCTTCCTAACTCTTCCTTACTTGAAAGAGGTGCTAACTGTGTTTTATTTCAGATGTTTATTAACCACCCTGGTGTGTGCACAGACCTGAGCGCGTCTCCGGCTGGCGCTGTGTGTGCTGTGGAGCTCTGGTTGTAGCTCCATGGCAATTAAGATCTGACCTGGAATGCAATAACTATTGAAATGCTCTGCGCTGTGCTGGCAGCGCTGCATCCCTCGGCCCAAGCAGGAGCTGTGGGAAGAATCTGCCTCCAGGGTTYGGTTTAGCGATCGGTAGTTGCCAGAGAACTTGGTGGCTTTGGAATTTCGCTTTTGTTGCGAGAGCTGCTCTTGTCACTTTGCTGTGTTCTGCGCTTCAAACATCCTCCCTGCCAGAGCTGCGCCGTGGAGCGGCCTGGAAGCTCCCATGGGAAACCCTCTATGTGAAATGCAGGAGTTTGCAGTCCTGCAAACAAGCAGGAGTTGCCCCGTCTTCCCTTCAGCCAGCAGACCCCAGACTTGGTTCTCCTTCTTGTACTCTATACATATATCTGAGAKATGCTGAGGGAACCAAGTCTTTCCTGTTTTCTTTTCCCTCCCCTCCCTCTTCTTTGCCCTCATGGCAGTGCTTTCGCAGGCTATTTAGGAATGCTTTGTGCAAGGGKAAGATAAAGGAGTAGAAACTTGTGTGATGTGAGCTAACGGTGCCCGTGGGCTCTGCCAGGGAGAGCCCTACCCTGAACAAGGTCTTTTCCCCCAGTTGCTCCTGACCCGGGAAATCAGCCTTTCCTTAAAGACATGAGCTACTCCAAAGCACTTTATGCTTCCCTGAACTTACATACTCTTCTAGGACCCTTTTTAAAGGCATCTTTGCTCACTGATGAGAAGCGAAACCCAAACCAAAATAGATTTTGAAGGTTACTTATTGTTTACGCTCTGCTTGTACCAGAGTCTTTGAATCTGGGACTTCAGTTGATAACCTGTCACTCTTCTCTCCTTTCTTGAAAGGTAACGTCCTGATTTTGATGTATTTTCTTTAGATCTGAACAGAAAGCATGGATTATGCCTTCAGAAAGCACGTGCCTTAGGTGATCATGTATAAGGGAYGGAGAGAATTGAATGTATTTTCCATATATTAGGCAAATTTTAGGTTATAATTGATATGTTGGTTTTGCTTCATTAAGCTGGCAGTGAGCACAGTGTGGAAGCCCATTTACGCTTACGGTCCCACGTCTGCCGCGGAAGGCAGAGATGTCCCCCAGCCGCGTGGCACTGCCCCTGTTCCCTGCTCCCGCTCCATGGGGAAGCGACCACGGAGCAGGGTTGAACAGAGGCACCTCCTTGTGCCAGCGTTTTGAACCAGGCTGCCCACGGAGGATGTGGACTCTCCTCCTTAGGAGACTTCCAAAGCTGCCTGGRTGCCACCCCGTGCTCTGGGTGTCCCTGCTGGAGCAGCAGCGTTGGACTGCATGATCCCTAGAGGTCCTTTCCAACCTCAACCATCCTGGGCTTAGCACCAGGGTGGCCGCAGTGTGAGAGTGCGATGCCTTCCCCTGGCTCCTGCAGAAGAGCACTGACAGTCTGGGAGAGAAATAGTCTTAAACTCATACTCTTCCTTCTGTCCTAAGCATGCGACCATGGCTTAAATTCTTCAGAAGAGGTGACAGCCTTTCCTGAGACACTGAGTTATTTCCACTGACTATTTATTAAGTTCATTCTACTTTAATCCATATATCCAAAATACAGTTCTAGGAAACTAAATCAACGTGCTGCCCTAATTGGGGCAAATACAGGGTGCTTGTGTTTCAAATGGTCGTGCCAGACAACTTGCTTTCAATTCAGGAGGAAATGGGGCTGATTTGGTCAGTAGGGAAAACAGTGTAATATTTTAACCTTGGCAGATGTTCTCAAGTATTTGTCTAGGGGCTAATGTGGAAGCCCTTAAGCGTGGACTGCTCTGGGTTCATCTCTGCCACAAGTTATTGGCAGTAGCTGCTCTTGCAGCATGAGGAGATCTGGAGACTTCCAGCATTTCCTCCTCTTAAAGACCGTTCTGATTCTCTAGTTTAATGATGCTTTTTGAACCCTGCAGAATTCTATCCAACCTTCTTTTTCCCCAAATCTCTGTTAATTACAGCAAGCAGAGGAAGCCTTTGGGTGCTGTTGGTTCACATGAGGGTGAGAAGGGTTGAAAGTACCAATGTGTTGGCTGCAGGTAAAGCAGAAAGGATTGTCCCAGATGGGAAGAATTTCTCTACAAACAAAATCTGCCTGTGCATTTTCTCTCTTATTGCGGGCACTAGGGAGATATTATCTGCAGAGGGAATAMGAGAAGCCCAGGAACAAGGAACTGAGCTCAGAATATCTTAAGCAGGATGTCTGTTAAAGGAGACAAAGGAAATAGTGAAGGAAAACCCTAAAACTATTTGTTGTTGCAGTAAACTACAACCCACAGAGTTCATTGTCAATGTTTTCCTAACCTGCAAATGTTGTCCCTGCACAGAGTGCCGAGTGTTTTCTTTCAGCTTCTGGCAACTTTGTGGTGGGATGTGGCCGGTGATGTGCTATCTGAATGGCAAAGTGGGACATCTAGCTCATTAACAAGAACCCATGGAAAAGGGCATGATCTTAAGACAGCATTCACATCAAAGACCAATTTACTGAGGCGGGGAAGACACTTGRATGACTTCAGGAAAAAAAATGACATATAGATTGGAAATAAGTTTCCAATTCTATTTTTCAATAGTTTCCAAATTGCTCTCCATCGAGTTTGCAGGTATTGCAGTCTTCTGACTAGGGTCGTGCTGTGTTTATGTGGCGAGCCCTGATGGTGTTGGACACTTCCTGCCTCGTATTGCAGTGCAGGTCTTTCAGTGCCTTCTGCACATATTACTGATTGAGAGCCCATTTATTGTAGATGAAGACTGAGACCTTCTGAATATACAGAATTTAAATTCCTGTTTCTTTTTTCCCCTGATTCCCAATATGCAAATTAGAGTTCTGATGACAGTAAAGGAATCGGGGGAAAAATTAGCTTGAAGTGAGCTGTTTCCTGAGGCGGGATTCCCATGAAGGCAGTCACGTTTTCCTCTTGTTTCCTGCAGAGCTCCACGCAATTACAGTGAAAGATTCATAAACTGCTGGCTCATCCTCTCGGCTGAAGTCAACTGCTCAGCTCGTGCATCTGCAGTCTCATCTCTACCTTGAGGCTTGTCCAGTCTTGAGGCTTTCTTTCTATTTTAACTGCATGATGTAAGGGCAGTGTTGATCCTGGAAGCTGCATATTCGCTACTGTAATGTGTTTCGGGTCTCAAAGTAGGTTTTGGTAACTTGAGTCTCTCTTGGCAAGTGTTATGGACTCTTTAAAGTTAGCTGACAAATAATGAATTTGAATTATTTTCAGAGCGTGCCTTTAGCAATGGTGAGTAGCTCAGARGTTGAGACTTGCTTCGTGTGACTTATCTTTCTGTTCTCTCCCCAGGAAATCTGTGAAGTCCCGAAGCCGAAGTCCTGGGTATTCGAGACACTCATCATCTCACAGTAAAAAGCAGAGGTCTGGGTCACGTAGTCGCCATTCCAGTATATCCCCTACCAGGCTGCCACTGAACTCTAGTCTGGGGGCAGAACTCAGCAGGAAGAAAAAGGAACGAGCGGCAGCAGCAGCGGCTGCAGCAAAGGTGGATGGAAAGGAGGCAAAGGGCTCGCCTGTTTTCCTTTCTAGAAAGGAGAACAGCTCAGCTGAACTCAAGGAGTCAGGAACGGAGTCTAAAAAGGTCACCAAAACTGTTAAATCTGAAAAGTCCTCTTCAGATACAGAATTAGTTAATTTACTGTATACAAATGCAGAGACTAAAGCATCTACAGACACAGTAAAAGTCAAAGCAGAAGAGAACTCTGAAAAGAAATATCCTGTTCCAGTTAAAGATGCAAAACAAACGGGAACAAAAGACTTGAAGCCTGTAGTAGTGAAAGAGGAGCTTCTGTCACCAAAAGAGACAGACACAGCAGAGAAGGAGATTCCACCTCCATTACCCTCAATCAAATCACCCCCTCCACCTCTGCCGACCACCACGCCACCACCCCCAACTCCACCGTTGCCACCTTTGCCTCCATCACCTGCTGTTCCRCCTCTGCCACCATCCCAACTGACTCCCGTTCAGGTCCCTACTTCAGTCCCGACATCTTTGCCATCTTCTTCCCACCCAAGGACGTCTACTTTATCCTCTCAGGTGAACTCTCAGTCTTCTGTCCAAGTCGCTACAAAAACCCAAGTGTCTGTGACGGCTGCTATCCCACACCTGAAAACTTCGACGTTGCCTCCGCTCCCACTCCCCCCTATTTTAGTTGGGGAAGATGACTTGGATAGGTAAGGTCACATGAAACAGCTTCCTTCAGTTTGTATTTGAATGCAAAACACTGAAAGGAAGAGCAAATTTAGTTTGATTAGTTTCGTGATTGCTAGCTTAGCCAGCCAGGAGTGAAGATTATGCTGYTGTCTAATAAGTACCGTGTTGTGTGGCCAGTCCTGTGTTTTTGACTCTGTTAGCTCTACAGGAAAAGTTTTATGGCCTGTGCGACAAGTCTGTGTGATCTCAGTAAGGGAGAGTGGTTTGGCTACCATTTTAATGCTGATTGGTAGAAATTTTAAGTCATGCTTAGTCCATGTTTGTTATGATAATGACCTGTGGATCCAGAATTATGCAGCCCTTTGCACTGCAGCCTTTTGCAAAAGCTTATTTTGAAATTGCAGGTTTTATTTCTTTGAGAATAGAGATGTGTCAATGTTAAGGAGTGAAACTGCACCTCAATATTTTGAGCCTTAAAAAAATTACTCAAATTACTCTTTCTGTTGTCAAAGAGCTGATCAGAGACGATCACACCTGGAGCAGGGCTGTAGTGGCAAGTCTAACGTGCCGGCTGGTGTCCTTGTGCTCCTCCTGTGGAGCTGCAAGGTGCGCGGGAGCCCTCTCTCCTTTCACTTCTAATCCCAGCTTGCAGAGTTGCTGTGGTTCTCACGGTGGCTGTGGCTCTCCCTTGGGTAGCTGCTCTTCTGCTTAGCTTCTAACACGATTTTGTCCACGGTTTTAATCTCTCTTTTTCCTTTGGGATAGAGGGATGGCAGAGAGTCACTACAGAATACCAGAAATATGAAAGGAGAGGGGAAAACAAAAAAGTTTTTCCTCTCTGTTTTTGTATCTGTTTAGTATTATAGGGTAAGGCTGCTATTTCAGGAGAAGATAGACAATCGCTGGTGTTTTTTTTTCCCATTTGCTCTGCTTAGTCTGTAGTTTTCTAACAGCCTTTGTCTTTTCCTAGCCCCCACTGAAGAATGTATTAGGTGTCTCAGTGAAGTTACATTTTTAGCAGAGTTTTGCATGACAGTTACAATTCTATATAATTGACTTTTTTAACAAAAAGAGTGTTTTTCCAATTCCCTTAATTGATTTTCATAGGTTGCCCTGGTATTGGTGTAAATCGGGCAATGCTCTCACCATGGTGATCATAAAAGTTAGGCTTGCCCAGGTTTATGTTCTGTTTTCACCCATCTCCAGTTGCAGAAAAAAAGGCTACAAGGGCTATATGTTATTTTCTACACGAGTGTGGCTCTATCTTTGTTCCATCCCTGCCAGCACAATGAACTTGGGARCGTGAGTAACAGCACAACTGGTTGCTAGACTTTCCAGTGTTGTTTCCCCCAATAAAAAGAYGAGAAATCTCACTTCAGCTGCTGAGTCTAATGCTGGTTGCAAATGCCACTAACCATATAGAGAAGCTCACTCTTARCCAAATCTGTGAGTAAAACTCTGAGCAGATTTTTTTTCCCCCCTATACTGAGGCTAGGAAAACACTCCTGCAGAGGTCTAAGAGCATGGTAAGCGCAAGATTTGAAAATATACCTTGAAATGTCCAAGTACAGAATGCATCTCACTTGGCTAGACTCTTTGACCTTTTCTCATGCTTGCTGATGTTTTGAGTAGTGTTTGGTCTATGACTCTTAGTCATTCCAGCACTCAGGGGGCCCTGGGAGTCGCTTGCCCTGGCCAGAAAAGCTGCAGGAGGGGAAGGTGATGTCTAGAGTCCAGCGTCCAGACTTCCCCTGGGTCTGATAGAGGTTGTGCCCAGCAGCACTAGAGCTTGCCTAGGTTCCTGGGAGCACCTGGTTAGCGGTTCATAGTGCTAAGATCATCTAAAACCAGCTGATTGAAGGCGTGCCTCGGAGAAGGGAGGTAACTTCCAGGAGACTTGTCAGGCAGTTGGCCGTCAGTTTGTCATTGTTTTTGTTTGGGCAACTCTGGAGCAAGAGTTGACTAGTTAAAGAATCTAGTTATAGATTTCTCAATTAAAGGAAAACTAATCCAAGTGTCTAAATGTTCTGGCAGCAATGCAACTTGGAGCAACCATCTAGCAGCACTAATGTTAACGTAATGTTAACATACAAATAGATTAACTAAGCACAGAGAACAGCATGTCAGCAAGAGAAGACTGACTGTTCAGTAATTCTCCCTAGGATTTCTCCCTGCCACATACAAGCACAGGCGAGAAATTAGATTCTGCTTATGGGACTTCTGCTGGTCTAAACCAAGCCACTGTTGCCACTGATACTTTAAAACGAAGCACATCCTGTTGGTTTCTCAGCAATATGCAAAATTCAGTGATGTTTTGGTCCTCGCTCGGAATTTGAAAGCAACTCATGTAGGGAATTAATTCTGTGTGTCTGTGCCTGTTTATGGTGGTCCTTAACAGGTCATGCGGTTAATTGTTATAATAAATGGACCTGATAGTGGAGTAAGGGTCAGCAAGGGGTTACCTGATGATAACTTGAATTCTGCATCTTCCGAGAACTTCAGCAAAAAAAAATGTTTATTTGTATAAACTGGGAGAGTTTTAGTTGCAAAGAGCAGTGTGCTTATTTGAAGTCGTCCAAACTTAATATTTTTCTCTGCTGATTTTTTTTTTAGCTCTGTAAAACTTGATTATTCTTTGCTTTATGCTTATGCTAATTTTGTCACTTAAACTTGGGCTCCTAACTTTGCGCTCAAACACAGAGCCTTTGGCCTACAGTAGTGGGGTTTTTTTGGTTTATTTTTAATTGGCTACTAAGTCTGACCTTTGTATTATATTAACTTTTCGGAGTTTAGTCCAAAAGAGATTCTTCCTCCGAAACCTGTGAAGAAAGATAGAGAGCAGAGACCACGACACTTACTCACGGACCTCCCGCTCCCTCCAGAGCTCCCTGGAGGGGACCCATCTCCTCCTGACTCCCCAGAACCAAAGGCAGCCACACCACCTCAGCAACCGTTCAAAAAGAGACCAAAGTAAGGCTGGTTTCCTGTTTTTGGGGGCTTTTTTGAGTTGTTAGGCTTTCTCTGTGTCYCTGTTCGGACAGGATGTTCAAAGTGCAGGCATTTCTAAAGTTGAATCTGGCACCTCCTTTGCCTTCTCTTAGCATCTTCCCCACAATCTGTAGGATGAGGAGAACACAATGTATACTTCGAAATCTTCAGCCAGACTTGCTTCTGTTTTACTGAAAATCTTATATCTCAGATTAGTGTTCAGATAAACCAAGTTTTTTACTTTTTTTCTTTTTTCTTCCGATTATGTACTGTCTATTTCTGGTGGTAATTGAAAACTACTTCTCAACAATTTGAGAATTAAGAGCACGGCAGTTGCAGCTTGTGAAGAAGAGGAGGTTGTGCATCAAGTGGAGGCTGCAGCTTAGACTTCATGTCCAAGTTGCCACAGCTTCGGTTGTCCTTCTCTTTGATCATTCCCACGTCAGGGATTGCTGGAGTGTGTAACCTTCAGTCTTCAGCCACATCTGCCCTGAGTTCCTTCATCCATTTATGTTTTAGTAGCTTCTAGACCAAAGAAATTKGAGAAATATCCATATATAAAGCTGCTAGTGCTTTTAAGAAGAGCTTATATAGGAAAGGAGTCATGGACCTTGTCTTCACGCACGATTGAGGTGTCAGGCGTGTTGTGAGGTGTGTGCAACTTCCCTGCATAGCAAAATTCATGCAGTTGTCAAGCATTAGTAAACTCCTGCATGTGTAGAGTCTTTTTGCATGTGCAATGCCAGCTACACTGTATTTAAAACAAAGATCAAATATCTAGTGTTTGTGCAGAAGACTTCAAACACTGGGTTTTGTGCTACTGTAATATAATTCTTCGTTTTTTTAGATAAGCTTAGTTCTTCAGACTACTTTGTTGTACTGAGGTCTTTGTAGAAATCCGTGTAGCTGTTTACATGTCCAAAGAGACTATAACAAAGTAATTTTGCCTGTGGATTTGAGGTGGCATGATAGCCTTTTGCTTGTCTTCCCCGTTCTGATTTTTGCTTGTTCGCCCCGTAGAAGAAAGCTATGATTCAACTTTTCAAGTGCAAAACTGATGGGAAAGGATCTGATAGCAACACAGTGTTTTTGGCTGGGGTGCTTTAGTGTGTGACTGAAGWAAAGGGATAGCATTTCTCCCTAGCAGCTCTCGTACGTGGAGTAGCTGAGAGAAACACTCAGTTGCTAGGGAAGTAGAACAAGGCGCCTGAGCTCTGCTTTTGTTCGTAGGGCAGAGCTTGCAGGCGTGGGGCAGACATTGGCTTGCAGGGCTGTGGGCAAGGTGGAGCACTTGGGAGTCTAACGGTCCTTTTTCCTCTTTCAGAATCTGTTGTCCTCGGTAYGGGGAAAGGAGACAGACGGAAAGCGACTGGGGGAAGCGTTGCGTGGACAAATTTGATATCATTGGGATTATTGGAGAAGGGACGTATGGGCAGGTGTACAAAGCCAAGGACAAGGATACAGGTAAAGATGCCAAGGGACTTCAAGTCAATCCTGCTTCTTTATGGCCTCGTTCTGTTCGTGTGGCTGTACTTAAAGCCCCCTCCAGGCTTGGTGCTGGTGCCTGCAGAACCAGAAATGGCTACAGATTTAGAATGAACATTGGGTATTTTCAGAAGGGGCTTAAAAGTGAGGAGCAAAGTGCAGAGCCCCAGAAATCCTGTTATCCACAAGCTGGTGTCCAGCTGTGCGCTGCAGATGCACTGTGGTTCCTGCTCCAGTGCTCATGGCAGGCACAGTTTTGGCACTGAAGATGCACTGGTGTCATTGCTACTGATGGAGTTGTTTGGGTCACAGCCTCTGGTAGAGCAGCAGTGACAAAAAATAGAGGCTGGCAACGTGAGTTGGCTCTGCTGTTTTCTTGGTGGCAGTTCATTGGGCCCATAGGTGCTTTTAACTTTCCCCTTGGAGGCCAGAGAGCCTGACAGAGGTGTTGGAAGGGATGTGTGCGGATGCTTTAACCCCGGCCTGTTCTGGCAGGTGAGCTGGTAGCGCTCAAGAAGGTGCGGCTGGACAACGAAAAGGAAGGCTTCCCCATTACAGCCATCCGCGAGATCAAAATCCTGCGGCAGCTCATCCATCGCAGTGTTGTTAACATGAAGGAAATAGTCACGGACAAACAAGATGCACTGGATTTCAAGAAGGACAAAGGTATTACTTACTGCAGGGTGTGGTTTCAATTAGCTGAAGARGTGACACAATCTTTGTTAGATTTCYACTTCTACGCACCGCAGGACTTATCCTTACTGTAAGTTTTCTCTGTGTTCTTTCTTGATGTAGCAGTTCCAGCAGAAGTTTCTCATCTGGATTTGGCTTCACATCAAATAATAGGTTCCAATTAATATGAGTTTTCACTCCATGTAGCAGAGGTGGACTTAAAAGGGTGCATTGCACATTTGTTCTTGCAGAGTCAGAAAATACTTTTTTTTGGAAAAACCTTTACAAAACACTTCTAACACTGATTGGTGCCGACAGAATAGCTGATAGTGTGAAAGGTCTTTGATCTTCCATCACTGTGAAAGAAAGGTGCTCAAACATGCCATGAACTTTTCTTGCTTTGGGACTTTTCTCACAATTAATTGTTTTTCTCAACAATATTCTTTTCTACTTGTSTCTCAAATGATTTATCTCTTTATTTTACCAGGTGCCTTTTACCTTGTGTTTGAGTACATGGACCATGACCTAATGGGGCTGCTAGAATCCGGGTTGGTACATTTCTCAGAGGACCATATCAAGTCTTTCATGAAACAGTTAATGGAAGGTCTGGATTATTGTCATAAAAAGAACTTCCTTCATCGAGATATCAAGTGCTCCAACATCTTATTGAACAACAGGTAACTTGGGGCTAGATACARCACAGGGTGATCTGCTTGTGTCAATCTCTGTATGTGAGACCCTCTGCTTAGATTTGCAGCTCCTTTTAGTTGTGTTTCTTTCATGTTGACTTTTACTGTASTGTTTATGTAAGTGCTTGTACGCAGAGAAAGCACTGAAGGTTAAAGTAGGAAGTAGCAGCTCTCCATGAATTCTCACTCTCTTTTTTAGATAGCACATTTTGTGCTCTGATAGTTCACCACAGAACACATTAATATGGTATTTGTTTACTGTTAATTCTCAAGTCTTTGCCTGGGTATCCATAAGAAAAGTTTGAGCCGGTAAGGCTAATTCTGTGCATAATTGCATTCACATGTTGACACCCATGTCAAAGACTTCACTGGAATGTTGGTCCACTGGGTAGATTTTGTGATAGAGAAGAGACTGAATTATTGCAGATATTCTCATTTCTTGGAAGGATCAAGCAGGATCTGAAAAACTTAAGACGGGCTTTGCCAAAATAATTACTGCAAACCTTGCTTTGTTAGAGCTGCCTACTGTGTGCAGGAGTCCTCTTTCTTTTTACTGCTTTTACTGCTGTGATTTCAACTAGTGATTGCTTTTGTCTTTCAGTGGGCAGATCAAACTTGCAGATTTTGGACTTGCCCGACTCTACAGCTCGGAGGAGAGGTGAGGCATGATGAGGTGGAAGAAGGGAGAAAGGTCTGACCTAAGTGTGGCAAGCTCTTTTGATCTTAATGTCCCCGTTTAGCTTGACCTGATGAGGTCCACCCCTGTTCAGTAGTGGCAGCCTCTTGCAGGACAGGGAAGTCTAGGTACTCAAAAGCCCCACACTTAAATACTTAATGCTACATCTTGGAAGTAATGATTGCAATTTGTAAGCCTTGTTGTGGCACTTAATGTGCTTTTATATATCCTCTGTTACAGCCGTCCATATACAAATAAAGTCATTACGCTGTGGTATCGACCTCCAGAACTGCTGCTAGGTGAGGAGCGTTACACACCAGCCATAGATGTGTGGAGCTGCGGGTAAGTRCCTGGCTTGTCCCTTGGCACATCCGATTTCTCTTCCAGCTGGACAAAGTGTTCCAGTGGTATTGGAATGCTTTCGAGTTCTGTGCCTTAAAGCAATAGATTTGTGTTAACTAACTAACGCTAAATCGTTTAATAATAGCTCCTAAAACAAAATGTGTTTAGGTATTGAYACACAGGAGTGTAAAACGTATCCTGCTAATTACTTGTGGAAATTCTGGCTTGGAAGTCCAGTTACTGTTCACTGCCTTGTGCCAGACAAGGGGTTAGTCCAGTTCCAGCAGACAGGTGCCTGTAAGAGGTCACGGCTCTGTCTGGCACCAGTTGTCATTCCTGTCAGAAGGCTTAAGAGTAGATGTTCAGGGTTGAACGAGCCCAAGCTCTCCTTTGCCTCATTCTCTTTCCCTTCCAACTATTAGGAAGTGCCCTGCGTGCACAGACGTGTGTAAAACTGTCTTGTGCCTGGTAATAATAAATGAAAAGCTCCTGTCAGCAGAGAAGAGCTGGGTGAGCAGATATCTCAACTTGTGGCAGTGGAGCTGGAGGGAGAATTGGGCTGAACCTGGGGAAATTGAGATGTCTGGCTGTTCTTCTCATCCGGCTATCGGTGTTTTCCATTTTCCTTGCAAAGAGTTAAAGTATTAAGCCCRTGGTGTGTTAACCAGCCTACTAGTGAAAGCCATTTCCCAGTTGGGTGGAATTGCTGGCTCTTTACACGTAGGTTAGTTTGTCAGTTCTCAACTACAAGCCCTAATGCAAATAACTCTCCTCAGGCAAAGCTGCTTCTGAACAGCAATGCTGCAGTGTTCAAACGATCATCCCAAGAGTTTGCTGTCATGACCTCTTGCTTTTCCTCTTTCCAGCTGTATCCTCGGGGAACTGTTTACAAAGAAGCCTATTTTTCAAGCCAATCTGGAACTGGCTCAGCTTGAATTAATCAGGTAAAGCATTGCACATGCATGCCTATGAGAAGAGGCACTGCAGAAACTGCTCGTGCACACAGTCTGTGTATTATAAGAGCCCTCTTCCTCTAATCTGCCTGCAAATTAGGACCGGTAAATGATGATAACTGCAAATGTGAATGGTTAGGCCTCTGGGTGTCCACACCTGCAGTCAAGCGTGTGTCTGTTAATGTATGCACCCTCAGTAAACTAGTGTTGTTGAAGTGCAAAAATCATGACCCTTAATCTCACTGYTGAAAATTCAGTTTGCTAGATGGTTCATCAACTCTCAGTCATCTTTTCTGCTGTTTGTGATGCTTCCTTTTTAACCTGGGCCTTTGTCTCATCCTTGTCAAACTGTCCCCAGCCRTAAAATGCTGATATGCTAAATTGCYTAAGTGGAAACGTTTTCACTTGGGTGGTGACTATTCTCGGATATGTTTCATATGCTGATAACACTCTGCTTTTCTGGTTCTCAGCCGGCTCTGTGGGAGCCCTTGTCCAGCAGTGTGGCCAGATGTCATCAAGTTGCCCTACTTCAACACTATGAAGCCGAAGAAGCAATACCGAAGGCGCCTGCGYGAAGAGTTCTCCTTGTAAGTCTCAGTAGAGAAGAGGATAAGTGGGCACRTTAGAATTGCAGCCTTTTATGTTGTGTGATGGGTGTGCTATCCTTTGGCTCCAGTCTCCTGGGCAGGATGAAATGKTGCTTCTCCTGCTTACCTGCATCCCTCTCCAGTGGGGCTTCTGTCATCTGTGGAAGGCTGGAACGTGGTCGCTGTCCCCTCTCTAAATACCTGATCTGCCACGGGTGCCTCCTGGAGGGGGTTCCTGGCTCTGTGTACATGTCTAGCCGAAGTCTGCCTTGTCAGTCTGCACTTGGAAGCTTCACGGGATGGCATTTGCACAGTGCAGAGGCTGTCTGACTTCGCAGATGTGCTCTCTAGGGGCAGAACATAATTGTGTGATAATCTCTGGGGATTTGTAGCAGAGCTGCTCTTCAAGAGTGATAAAAATGAGACTGAAAATATTGCAAATCTGATGCCTGTTCTGGTGATTTCTGTGAGCTGCTGCATTGCTTACCAGTAAATTTGCCTACATAGGTTTCTGTTAGTCTGGAAGTGGGCTTCTGTTGAGAGTAACCCCTTAACGCGAGAACAACCTCCTAGTTCAGCCCTGTTTTCCATCTCCACGCAGCATTCCTTCATCTGCTCTCGATCTGCTGGATCACATGCTGACGCTGGACCCCGGCAAGCGCTGCACGGCAGAACAGGCCCTGCAGAGCGACTTCCTGAAGGATGTTGACCTCAGCAAGATGGCACCCCCGGAGTAAGTTCCAGCTGGCATCTGCCACCACAGTGGCCCTCTGAGAGCTTTGGGAAGGAGCTGTCAGTTTGGCCTTATTTTCACTGAGTCAAGATTTCTGGCTTCTTTTCTCCACTGTGCCCCAGGATTTTGTCATACAGCTGAGCAAATAGTTTTTCYTATGCTCTTTTTTCCCCCCTCTCTCCTGTTGCTTTTTCTAAAGCTCCCTTTGTCACTGTCTTCTCGCACCTTGGGTGAGCAGAATRCGAAACTCTGCTGGAGCTTCACTGCATGCAAGTGTGGTTATAGCTTTTAAGATTCCTGTTTCCTACAGGATTCCTAATGGCAGCTGCTCACTCCAAGCCACCRTACTTCGAAAGCTTAACAGATTTACCCTTACGGCAGGTTGTGTGCATTTAGTAGCACAGCCCTTTCAAGACTAAGGTCCTAGTGCAAATTAAATGATTCGCATGCGAATGAATCCTTCCCCAGTTCCAGGGTTTGTCCCTTTTGAGTATAGAAGTGCATTGCAGTCAAGGGAACATCTGTGCTTCTTTTACGATACAAATAATTTTCTGTGATCTTTGAGGATAAAGCGAATATCCTTCCTGGATGACAACTATTAAGAGTTGTTGTTCTCTTCCAGCCTCCCCCATTGGCAGGATTGTCACGAGCTGTGGAGCAAGAAACGGCGACGGCAGCGGCAGAGTGGGATTGCAGTGGAGGAGCCACCGTTATCAAAAGTTTCTCGRAAAGAAACTACCTCTGTTACAAGCACAGACACTGTGAAAAACAACAGCAGTCCTGTGCAGCCACCGCCTGCCCCGCTCAAAACCGAGCCTGGCGTCGGAGATGTAGTAGGTCAGTGCCTCGTCCTGTCTGTGGAAAGATCCTCCTGCTAACTTGTGTCCCTGCCATCTCTGCCCTCACCGACTTTAAAAGCTTACGCCTGTTTTTAAGTCTAGGTGATTCTTGAATTCTATAGAAATAACATTCCCTCATCTCTCTCTTTGGGATAGGAGGAGTTATTTTGTTTTCTTGTTTCTGTTTCTCCCTTCTCTGCTCTGAAGACTACTGGATGCACAGAATTCTGGATGATATTTGGAGGTCTCTGACTAGCTGATTAYAAATTCACTGTATAAGTTACATTATTGGTTCCTATGCATGCTTTCATGGAGGGTGACGGAAGGAATTCAAGTGAGCTGAAGTTCATGATCTTATTGATGAAATTACATAAAGTTTAGGCATGGAGCAAAACAGACTAGTGGCTGGTGGGTGGAAATGCAGATTTTTCACAGTGCTTCTTGCAGAAAAACATGTCTTGSTCATAATGCCTTGCCAAAGCAGGACTTGTGCACTCTTCCCAAAACTGATCAAYCTTCTGGTGTCTAGGAAATGCCTTGAGGAGAGGTGCTCTGCCTCCAGGGAATGCAGAGAAAGACAAAGTTGTCTGGACCAGGCTGATTGCTTGGTGGAAGGTCTTCCTTCCGCTGAGCTGGATGCTGCCTGCATTCAGCCGCATGCTGGAGCTTCCTTTGTGTCAAATGTTGTACAGACAAATGGCACGGAAGACGGTTCTTGCTCCAGGGAATGCGCAATCCATGTGTTCAGTGAAACATGGCAGATGGACAAAAGGTGGTGGTCAGATTAGCAAACAGCTGAGAAAGGAGTTYCACGTTATTGGTTGTCTACCAGCGCAGGGAGCTTATTTTTAAGCTTCTCAATCCAAATGGTGCACCCTGCTTCCCAGAGAGTTTGCGTGACACGCAAGGTCAGTGCGAAGTGACACTCTGGTCACCCTCACTAGTGTGGCTTCGCTCCAGCATGCCACAGGRGGAGGTGATGCCCTTCAGCACCTCTATTTCAGACCCACCTGGCTGCTTTAGGGTCAGCATGGAGGCCTGTGTGATCCCAGGCCAGCTTTCCACACGGAATTCTGTTCTGCGTGGCCTAGTTTCTCTTGCCATTAGTGGAACGTTCTTCCTTTATTCCAAGCAGCAGCAGAAATCTGTGCCAGGGAATGTGCGAGAGGGAGGGCTTTTGATCCACTGAATGCTGCAGAGACCTTGGGAAGGTGCTGAGCTGCCACCAGACCTGCTGCTCTGATTGCTACTGAGCTGAAGGATTTCCATGTCCTCATGTATTAGCAGCCTTGCTCGGGTGTAACCGCTCGGGTAGCCGCTCGCCACTGCGGTTCCTGGGATGCCCCCGCTGAGTTAACCGCTCCACGAGTGGGGCCGCTGGGTTTAGCTGGGCTGGGGAGCAGCTGCGTGCGCGGTTCGGGTGGCAGATTGGGGCAGGCAGTGACAAAGCGCCGCTCGGCCGCGAGCCCCGCGGTGCCTTGGCGAGTGCAGTGCGCGAGCAGGACCACGGGGTGCTGCTGCAGCGCTGCTCGCATCCGAGCCGGCAAGGGCGAGCCGAGAGCGGAAAGCGGAGCAGCCTTCCTGGAATCCTCCTCCTCGAGCCTCCCGGCCTTCCCCAGGGAYGCAGAGCAAGGAGGGTGTTGGGATGTGGGAGTTTGGGCGTCGTGGTTGCAGACCAGCCTGCTGCAGCTCTCTCTAACCTTTCTGTGATGCTGTCTGTTTTCTGCAGGCCTTGGAGATATCACCCAGCAGCTGAATCAGAGCGAACTCGCTGTTTTACTGAACTTGCTGCAGAGCCAGACTGATCTGAGTGTCCCACAGATGGCCCAGCTGTTGAATGTACACTCAAACCCCGAGATGCAGCAGCAGCTGGAGGCTCTCAACCAGTCCATCAACGCTCTGACAGAAGCCACCACTCAGCAGCACGAGTGTCAGGCGGTGGCGGCGGAGGAAGCCATAGAGGAGCCACCCGCGGAGGCCCAGCCAGCGGAGGAGCAGGCGACTCCAGAAGCAGCCAGCGCTCAGGGAGACATGCAGAACGTGCTGGCCGTTCTGCTGAGTCAGCTCATGAAAAGCCAGGAGCCTGTTATAACCCTGGAGGAGAGCAACGGGGAGAAGAGCTGCGAGCAGCGGGGGCCGAGGAAAACCCCCACCGTGCACCCGGAGGAAAGCACAGGTAAATAAATAGCGGTGGTTGCTTGAGTGTCTTGGTGCCCTTCACCCAGTTGAGCAGTTAAAGCCTTCTGTGCAAGTGCCTCTAGTTTAACTGCGGCCAGGAGGAGCTAAGATGTTTGAGTCCTGTGACACAGGGAGCAGGAGGGAGAGAGCTGGACGCTCGCTGTGGTCGACCTTAGCCCCTGAGACTGGGAGAAACACTGACCTGCTCCCTGTGCTCAGGAGGCCTTTCCAGGGCATCCAAACCAGAACCCCAGAYGGCTCCGCATCTCTGAAACATATAAAGTCCTGTAATGCTCCATGGTGAACAGGTCAGGGAAGACTAAAGRCTCTGTTTTTCCCCAGCCAGACTGGGGGAATTTGCAGAGTTCGATTCTTGCTCTGATACTCCCATGACTGGTAATCTGCACCCTGTCATTCTTCATGACTCATGTTGGATTTGCCCACTGAGGTAGATTTTTTTTTGCACAGGTCATTGGATCTCTGCAGTTCCCCAGTTCTGCCAGTCTGTCCCAACTGCCTTTTCCACCATTCCCCTTGTCCTGTTCTGGCCCCTCAAAAACAAAGTGCAGACAAAATGGTAAAGAACGTGGGAACTGAAATSACCCAGAGTGCTGAATGGGAGGGCTTAGCGGCAATTAGGTGCATAAACCTCCTGCATCTGGCTTTAGTGTGCTTAATCTTTATGTAGAGGTGACTTTTGTGAGGCCTGAATTCAGCAGCTTCTCAAGTTGAGCCACGCGACTGGCTCAGTTAGGGCAACTACGAGACAGGTTTAAGAGAGCCGATTGTATCGGTGAACTCTCGGATTTCCTTTCCAAAGGTGAGTGTAAACGTCTCCATGTCTTTTGTTTCTGTTGATTTTTCTGAATTATTAGCAACATCCTGTGACGACCTCACCAAATTCTAGAAGCGCCTCCTGAGTATGTCTCAAACTCTCCAGGGAGCCTCTTTTGGCCCGATACACAACTCCTCTGCAATGTAGCTGAACGTGCTGTGTTCTCGTGCCTTCAACACACCCGCCCACCACAAGCCAGTTGTGATCGTGCTTTTTTTTTCCTTTTTTCTTTTTTTTTCCTTTTTTTTTTTTTGCGCCCTAGAACTGGAAAATAATTAGGTTCTTGTAGAGCAGATTCAATTAAATAACTTTGTTCTCTGTTATAATTATTTTAAATGGTATACTGTCCCCAAATCAGCTTGGCTTTAAAATGACCTGAAGATTGTTTTCTGGATTTAAACACAATCTAGTTTTAAAGTGGACTGACTGATATGGGTGGAGGGGTGGTCCTGGAAGACTACTGGTTTTCACAATAAAGTTTGACCTTTTTAATAACCAGTTTTGTAACTGATTTGAGGATCTGATTCGACCAAGGTATCCGTGGCCTCTTATATCCTCGCCAGTAATAACTTGAACCCCAGTTATTAATAACTTGGCCCCGGGGAGCGGATCGTGTCCCGCAGGAGGCTGCCGCTCCGCGCTGTCGCTCCTGGCTCCGAGCCCGTGGTGACGGCGAGGACCGGCGCTCGGCTCCCGCTCCTCGCGCTCCCGGAGCTGCTTTGTTCCTGCTGCCAACTCCGGAGCAGCCGGGCAGGGTAGCGAGAGCCCTGTGAGCTGGCACGGTGCTTTTGTTCTCGTTAGGAGAGATCCTTTTGCAAACCGGAATCCGTGTTACTTCAGGACTGATATATTTAAAAAAAGCAAAAGGGGGAGGAGGGGATGACTGGCTTTTAATTAATTTATTTATTTTCCTCATAGGCTTCAGGGCAATCTGTACAGAGCATGCAAATAGGAGACTGTTTGGGACTGTACTCTAGAAGCCTTAAAAAGGCCCTAAAAGGGGCAGAGCCGTTCCCGGGTAGTCCTGAGCGGCAAGGAGAGCGCCCGGTGGGATGTTCCCCTTCCCTTGGCTCTGTCTGGGAGCCGCCCTGGGCGCTTCTGGCAGCTTCTTGGTGTGTTTTAGATACCCGGGGGGCCACGGTTCGGTGGGACCGTGAGCCAAGGCTGCTGTCCCCGCGCTGCCAAGGGCTGCGCTGCGTCCCGCGGCTCCGCATCTGCCTCCCCGCACTCAGCCTTTCATCCGGGAGCAGGAATTCTCTCCACGGATGCCCATGTGTTCGGCCAGCTGTTGCTGGCGAGGCTGGCGGCGACGGCGTGCGCCGAGCTCGCCACAAAGGGCGGCTTTGGGGAGCCTGTAGGAGCCTCCGTGGGTTTTGGGAGCCTGTAGGAGCCTCCGTCGCGGAGCGGCCGTGGTGCCCGGGCGTGCGGGGTGGGCACGGGGCGGGGGGTGCTCTCTGCCTTCATGTCTGTTCGCGTGGGTTTCTTTTCTTTTTAATGATGCCGTTGAAAGTTTAAAGCAGTAACCCTTCCACAGCGTGTCCTCCTCGCCTTCTCCCCCTAGAGAAGAGACCCCCCGAGCCCCCCGGAGCGCTGCCGCCGCTGGCCGAAGGCGACGTGTGCGGCGCGGCGCAGGAGCTGACCCCGGCCGTGACGGCGGCGCTGCTGCAGCTCCTGTCGCAGCACGAAGCGGAGCCGCGGAGCCACGCGGAGCCGCGGAGCCACGAGCCCCACGCGCCGAGGGCCGCCGACGTCGGCAGCTCCCGCTCGGCCAGGACTTACGAGGGCTCGGAGGGGGGATTTGGCGCCGAGGAGCTCAACCCCGGCCCCACGCCGCTCGAACCCGCTGCGCCCACGCTGGGGAAGAGCAGGACCTTTTTGGGCTCCGTGAGCCACCTCGGGGAGACGAGCAGCTACCAGGGCACGGGATCGCTGCAGTTCCCAGGGGACCAGGACCTCCGCTTCGCCAGAGTGCCCGTCGCCGTGCCGCCGGCCGCGGGGCCGCCCTCGGCGAAAGGCGAGGGCAGCAGCAACAACGCGCTGGCGCACGCCGAGCCGCCGGTGCCCGGCTACGGCGAGCTGGGAGCGGGCAGCGCCGCGGCGCCCGCCTGGGCCGCTCCGTACGGCAAGGCTTTCCGCGGGCCCGGCAGAGCGCCCGCCAGGGGCGGCCGGGGCAGAGGCGTCCCCTACTGACACTGCCCCTTCGCCCGGCGCCTCCCCTCTCTCGCCCTTTAGCGAAACAATTGGGGTTTTTTATTTTATTTTTCTTTTTTTCCACCCTTCCTCTCCCGCCGGAGCAGGGGCCTCTTGCGCGTTGCGCCGGCCGCGCCGCCGCGTCCCTCGCGCGCTTGGTTAGCGCTGGAAACGCGCGGCGAGCTCCCGGCCTCCACATAGGGGAAGCCTCGAGACGAGGTCCTTGAGAAGCCGCTCGAAAGACGAGGGATGGAGCAAACCACCAGCCCCGGATGAGGGAAATTATTGCAATGTTTGCAAGCTGGGCGCTAGCACTCCGGAAAACGGGAGCCGCAGGCAGCGCTCACGGAGGGCCAAGGGAAAGGCTACTTCCCAATGCAGTTCTTTTGTTTTTGTGGGTTTTTTTTTTTCCTTTTTTTCCTCAATCCCCTTTAAAAAGAAGAAAAAAATTTGGTAAAAAAGTTGCTCCAGGAGAACCTAGAGCAATTGTCCTGGATTTGGAGCCCCGGCACGCGGCACGGGCTTGGACTCGGAGTTTATTTCCAGTGGTTTTCTCTGCAGCGAGCATTGGGCCTGGCCCTTTCCTCTTCCCATTCCATGTGCAGCCTTGGAGCTGGCTGCTTCCCGCCCTGCTGGCTCCCAGGCTCCCGCTCGCTTCTCTTTTCATGGTAACCTCAGTAAATTGGCTTTTGGGAAGGGTCTCTTTGGGTGTTATATCTCTTCTTGCCCTCCATTTGTAGTGGGAATAGTCCTTTTTATTTCTCTTTTCTTTTAAGGCGCCTGAGAGCCGAGGAGTGCATCACTCATCAGTATTCTCTCTGCAAGCTGGCAATTCCAAACCATTTTAAGAATTCAAGGAAAAAACCCTGTTCCTGGGGGAAAATCCCAGCCTTTTGTTGGTGCCCTCCGTGCTTGGGGTCAGCAGCTCTGAGCCCCACCTGCCCTTAACTTCTCTCTATTATCACACATCTTTTTGGTGTCCTTAAGGAAGCCTTTGCAATGGGTTTGCTCCGGCAGAGCCTTGCCCTGTTGCTCATTTCAATAAGACTTCTGAGAGCAAAGTGAAAATACCACTTTGGGACCCTTTTCTCCCCAAATAGACCTTTCCCAGGGAAAACACGTGCTCGTTCTTTTACCTTCAGAGCTGGCGCTGTTTTGAAGTGTTGAGGACTATGAAAGGGGTGAGAGCGGGAGCTCCGGCTCTTCCAGAACTGGGAGTTATTTCTTTTTATTCGGAAATTCAGGAACTGCCTCTTGGGCCGGGGGAGATCTCCCTTGCGTGGAAGGGAAGATTGTGGCCGGGGAGGAGGGAGGCCCCTGCGCGCGTAAAACCCGCGTCGCCTCCCGCCTTGCTGAGCCGGCCCGGGCCCGTGACACCATTTGAAAATTTCAAATGTAATTTTTTTTTTTTTTAATTTCCACTTCCCGCCTGCTGAGCAAAAAGGAAAAGTTCTGTAAGATGCAGAGTGCACTAAATAAACCAGTCACCTCTCCAGCGTTTAATTTATATATTAGATGGCTTTGTTTCCTTGGCGCGCGCGCCAGGTTCAGGCGGGGCGGCTGCGCTTCCCGCTGCGGCCGCCCCGGGAAGCCCTTTGCTCCCCCGGCTCCTCCCTGACCTGTCCCGCTGGGAGGACACGGGAGCCCCAAGGGCTTTGGGAAGAGCTGAATCCCTCCAAGCACSGGCCGCATCCTTGGCTCATCCCGGCGCGCCACTCCGCTCCCACATCCCTGCCAGCGGCGCCTTCCTTCCCTTTTCCCTTCCCTTTTTTCCCTTTTTTCCCTTTCCTGYGGGGCTCTGTACAAGGAGGACACCCGGCTTTGCTGGGGCGGGGGGACCACGCGGGGGGACCCGCTCTGCTCCGGGGCTCTGCGCCGCTGCCGGCCTCTCCCGCCTTGCCGGCCGCGACGGAGCCGCCTTTGCCGGGCTGTACCCTTGTCTCTGTACAGATATTTTGTAATATATTCGATTTTTTTTTTCCTTTTCAGTTTATAAAAATGGAAAGTGGAGATTGGAAAATTAAATATTTCCTGTTACTGTACGTACTGCCTTTTGCTGCGTGACGCGGGACCGTCGTGGGCCTTGCAGCCGCCGCGGCCGGGCGCGCGCTCCAACCTTTAACGGGACTTTTCCCAGGGTTTGGGCACAGCCGGCATGGAGCTGACATGGCCTAAAAGACCCTGGGGTATTCTCCCTCACAATTTCTCCCTCGCAGTTTCCCCCCGGGTATTTTAAGGGGCGGTGGGAGGGATGGACAGGGCCGGGGGCAGCGCTGGGGGCTGCAGCCTCTCCGCAGGGTGCCCGGGCGGCTCCTTCCCGTCGCGTTTACAGCTCGGGTCCCTACACGGTGACGGTGCCGCACGCGCAAGGGTGGGRGCGCACACGTGTGTGCACACGTGTGCGAGCGTGCAGGGCCAAGGCACACGTGTGCACGAGCACACGCCCCAGCGGGCACGCGTGTGCCAGGCATGCAGGGCTGCACGGATGCACGTGTGGATAGGAGCTTGCGTGTGCATGCATGGGCCCAGGGCGTGCACACGCGTGTGCAGGCGTGTGCTGCCGTGTGCACACGCGTGTGCGCGGCGCCAGGAGCYGCTGTGCGCGCGGGCGGCACCGCCGCTCTGCTCCATTCGCCCTGCCAGCTGCTCCGCCTGGCGCCGCCTCCCACCTCCTTCCCAAGCCCTTCCCTTGGCGCCGGGCGATCCCGGAGCAGCCGGTGCCGCCGGGCAGCCCCAAGGATGGCACCGTGCTGGGCAAAGCCCGCGGGCACCGGCCTTGGCACGCGCCGAGGAGGAGGAAGAGGAGGAAGGCAGGATGCTCGTGGCATCCTCTGTGGTGCTGCCAGTGCCAGCGTGGAAAATGGGGCCGTTTCCAGCATTTTCGGCTCCGGCGCGGGAAGGCGCCCGGTGGCACCGCGCGGCCTGCGCTTGCGGCGCAGCTGTGCCCGGCCAGGAGGGGAGGCGGCGCGCGCGCGGCCTCACCTGCCATTTAATTGGATGTATTTTTAATTAAGGGGCCCCGCGGGAGCGGCGCGAGGCGGCGCGGGCGCTGAAGAGGGGCCGGGGACGAGCCGGGGCCGGCGGCGGGATGGGGCCGCCGGGGGCACTTAGGCGGCGAGCGCCGCCATCAATCAGCGCCACTTTGGGCGCCGGACTCTTGGCCGCCGCTCAAGGAGGGAGAGCCGGGGCGGCGAGCTCACACGTGCGGCGAGCGCCACGGCCTCAGCGCCCCGGAGCCGGGGGCACCCGCGCCCGCCGTGCCCGCGGCCGGGGGGGCCTCGCGGGGCCGGCTGCCGGCGGCGCAATGTAGGGCAGCATGAATATTGAGTGGGGCCGGGGGGGCGGCGCAGCCGCCGCCTGCGCTGGAATGCGGCGCCGGCCGCGCGCCCTGCGGCAGCACCCGCAGCCCCGGGGCGTCGCATCCCGGCTGCGTCCGGGCATGTCCTGCTGCATCCCGGCACTTCCCACTGCATCCGGGCATGTCCTGCTGCATCCGGGATGTCCTGCTGCATCGTGGCATGTCATGCTGCATCCCATCACGTCCTGCTGCATCCCAACACATCCCGTGGTATCCCAGCACATCCCACAGCATCCCGGCACATCCCGCTGCATCCCAGCACATCCCGTGGCATCCCAGCACATCCCACAGCATCCCAGCACATCCCACAGCATCCCAGCACATCCCGCTGCATCGTGGCGTATCCATTGCCATGCCACGGCAATGCCCTGCGATTCCTTGCCAATCCCCGCCATTCCCTGCAAATTCTTACACCTCCTCGACCTTCCTCGCACCTCCGTGCCATGCCACCCTGGGGCAGCTCCTCCGGGCGGCCCTTCCCGCCTTGGCAGCGCCAGGAGGCAGAGGAGCCCGCACGCACCCGGCACCTCCCKCCCCGTTTTGGGGCCAAACCCCCGCATTTCCCCCGCGGGCCGGGGGCAGCGGCGGGCACGGCGGGCACGCGGGGCGCGCGCCCGCCGCTTTATTAGCGTTATCTCGGCATTGTGATGCAGAGAGAGTCAGTGTAACAGCTGCTGCTGCGCGCGGTGTTTATTGTTACCTAGAGACAGCCCGCTGGCGCCCGCCCAGCTCCCCCCGCGCCCGCGCCACCATGCAAAATTTATAGCGCCCGGCCCGCCGCTTTAACCCGCTGCATCCCGGGCGGGCAGCGCTGCCGGGGCAGGATGGCACGGCATGGCATGGGATCTTGGCAGGGAAGAGCAGGACGCGCAGTGCTGTGCCGTGCAAAACGTGCCGTGTTGTGCAATGCTGTGCAATGCCGTGCAAAACTGTGCCGTGCAATGCCATGCTGTGCAATGCCATGCTGTGCAATGCCGTGCCATGGGAAACCGTGCCGTGCAATGCCACACTGTGCAATGCCACGCGGTGCAAAGCCATACCATGCAATGCTGTGCCATGCAAAACATGCCGTGCAATGCCGTGCTGTGCAACGCCGTGCCACACGAAACCGTGCCATGCAATGCCACACTATGCAATGCACACTATGCACACAATGCACGCTATGCAGTGCGCACTATGCCATGCCATGCCGTGCAAAGCCATGCCATGCAATGCTGTGCAGTGCTGTGCCCTGCAATGCCACGCCGTGCAAAACCKTGCCACGCAATGCCATGCAATAGCACACTGCAATGCCACGGCATGCAAAAGCGTGCTGAGCAACGCGATGCCATGCGATAGCACGCTGTGCAATGCCACAAAACGCAAAACTCTGCCATGCAATGCTGCGTCGTGCCATGCAAGGCTGCCCCATGCAATGCCAGCATGCGGTGCCCTKCTGGCTGCAACATGCTGTGCTTTGCAGCACCGTGCCGTGCTACGCCATGCCGTGCCATGCTGTGCCACGGTAAACAATGCTGTGCCATGCCACGTCATGCCATGCTGCACTGTGCCATGCCATATCATGCAACACCGGGCTGTGCCATGCCATGCCATGCCATGCCATGCCATGCCATGCAATGCCGTGCCGTGCCCTCCCGCGCCA